CCCATTTTCCTGAAATCTCAGGCTTGATAAATAAGCACTGCTAATTTATGAAAGGCTAGTGATGATGATCATGATAAAGAGATGCTCAAAAACAGACTAGTGAAAATGACAAAGCAAGCAGGGCCATCAAGACCTTCAAGAACCAATTTTAGAGCTGGAAGCAGAAAGCAGGACTATTGTTAACTATATGGCAAAAGGAGTAGAAGAATAGGAAAGAAAACGAAATATGTCCATAAATCACTGGTAGAGGCAAAACAGTGTGGTGGGCACGGGCTGTCCTTTAGACCAGTGTTCCCCAGCTTGGCCTGCTTGGGTGCATGCAGCAGCAGCAGCAGGGGCATTTCCCAGCAAAGGAGGTGTTCAGCTGCCCAGGCACGAGATAAACACATCTTTGAAGTGGCCTGCATGGCACTAGCTGTCCACGTACAATAATCTAGAGACCATTTTGTAGAAGTCTCTGGGCAGAAGTGCCTTAGGAAAAAGAAGCAAGAATTTGCACATAAAAAGAAGAGAATTTCCTATGGCTCTAATCACCCACAAATTGGTGGCATAGGATGGGACAGCTATGCCTGTATGGCAGCATTTTTATGTAAGAGGCAATACAACGATTTGTGCTACCTAACATACAGTGCCTGCTTCAAATGCATGCTCTTGAAGCTAAGCATTTAATTTTAAGTGTGTGCTTACGCAACTTGAGTTTCAACAGTACTGGAAATTCACAGTTCCCATGGACAATATGAGAATGGATACGTAAGTGCAAAACAACAGCCATTTTTCTAGAGGACATTCAGTTTGACAGTTATAGCTATTTCCTTCTGAATATTTCTGAATTTTCCTGAGGAATTGCAAGTATAAAGGCTAAGTATCTATATGTGAAACACTGTCTTTATAGTATAAATTCATTATATCATTGAGGCCTGTGACATTCTTTGACATTCCTAATTTAAAATGAATGTGTAAATATTTACTTATGTACAAGTTTGTAGAGAAATCTAATGGTTTAAAATCACTCAGCTTCTCTGGAACATCAATGGTATTTTTATCTGCACAGTGTGTATACAAAAGGAATTAGTACATTGGCAGTTACTCCTTCTGTTTTTATAAGTAACACATGTAAGTGAAAAATATAAGCCACATCACTCACCAGATAAAGAAAGACAAATTTTAAAAGTGTGATTTATGGAAACCTTTAATGCCAGTTTTATTGTAAAAGGTTAGAAGTTCTCTCACTTTGTTTGAAGAGTGGTGTGGTCTAGCTTTACTTACACATGTGACATACACATGCTTTTTCACTTATATAAGTGGTCTAGTTCTAATTATACACTGGGAAGAAAATACTCGTAATTGCAACAATTGATTTCTCAGTCTGTCTTGCATTAGGCAAACATTTTTGCAAACCATATTGTCTCAGTTTTTCCTGTCTCTAAAACTAGAATAATTCTTATTTAGCAAAACTAACATTAAAAATTAGTTTTTAATTCCCAATGTTATCTGAAATTATTAGAACGTTACCGCATAATCTGATCATTCTCTTTCCATCCACAGGGAAAAGGAAACCTCCATGCATCATAGCTCTCAGTGCAGGTGGAGGAAGAAGTCAGTCACTCCTTCTTCTTCTTCCTAATCCTCAGACAATGCTCTTTGGCTATGTCTATGCTAGTACATCAAATCGGTTCAGGGACCGTTCTCTGGTCCTAAGGCCACGTGGTACAACACAGTCTGCACCGCTATGCCCAAATTCTGATCTCATGTTATTCTCTGAACTACACTCGGGCAATTTTCTCAGAGGTTTAGACCATGCTAAGGGGACATGCTGACCGTTAAACCGGTAATTGTGGGACAGTGTTTGATACATCCCTAGCACTCTGTAGTAGTTAGTGAGGATATAACCAGAAAAGGAAGAAAATACTGAGACAAACATTCCTCCTGCATGACTTTCTCCTCCCAAACCTCTTCCTGAAGGTAATCTCATAGAAGAGGGTAGCAGGACAGCCCACTGGTATTGCAGATGCTGGTATGACACCACTATGTCTTTTCGATGCTGACAATTTTATTTTCAGCTTCTACGGAGACCTAAAATGCAGACAATCAAATTCTGATACTTGAAGTGGATAATTGCATTATTTCATGAGTGAAATGCCTTCCAAGGGACTAGCTGTGGAACCAGTTGTGTTCAATACCATGTGATCAATACACATGGTATTTGATCTTGATAAAGGTAATCAAAGTTATGTATCTTGTAGGAAATAATAGAAGAAAAATAGGAGAAATATGGCACTGAATTAATGCTCCAATTAGCTTAACTGCTACTTGAATTTAATTAACTATTATATTGCTTGAAGATGTTCTGTAAATGACTTGCAAATGTACATGTGCAGAGGAGTGGCACTAATCTGTGTTATTAAGGCATAAAGATTTATTAGAGGATCTCACAAGATCTACAGTAACCAAAAATGCGATCACATAAGAGCATAAGTCTTACAAAAATGCCTATATTTTTTAATGAAGTTATTACTGCTGATGCCAGGGTTTTTCTCCTTTCTGGTTTCTTGCTTCAGTCCACACTGTGATATTCATGCATCTCTTGAAATACCTCACTTCTGTGAATAATCTTACGTTTCCCCTGGTACTTTGCAGGAAGCAAGGTGCTCTATTATGTTCAAAATTCTGTGCCCTTTGAAGTGCATGAGAGTTTGACACGGACTCCTATGGGATGTCTCGGAGGGTATGTATCCTATGTGCAGACAAACTGCAATGTAATTGGAAATGATACATTTCATAGCCTAATTGTTAACTTTGCATCCTTTTATCCAAAATACAAAATTTCACTGCAGAGATAATTTGAATACCTTTGTCACATTGAAGAGGGAAAGAATTAATTAAATTCCGGATTGCCAATCAAGTTGAGAACACAATATGGAAATCCCCATTAAACAGCAGGCAAGTAATGGTGCTCAAGTTGTGATAGAGAGTAATGTATCTTGCAAATGAAAATGCCATCTCCAATCTGTAACATAATGATATGCACAGATTTCTCCCTGCCCCCATCCCCTCTCTTTTTGCTCAAGTCTAAAGTGCACTCTGTAATGCATTATTAAGCTAAATTCTGACCCAGTTTCTTAATTATCTGTAAGCTACAGGGAACTTGTAGCAGAATATTAACTAAGGCAAGAGATGTAAGACAGAAGAATCCACAATGGCATTAGAGAGAATCATTAGCATTTTGCTAAGAAAATCCTTCACATTTTAATATTTAGCCTCACCTAACATGTAGAATTTCTATTTTAAAGTGGTACAAAGTATCTACCAACGCAGCCACCAAAACAACCCAGGCAAAAAAACAATAAAAGAGAACAGAAGTATTTGGGGAAGCATTCCTGGATTCACAAAATCAAAAACCTGTAGTATACTGACACTTCTGGGACAACAGGATTTTTTCCAACCGTTCTTAGTGGATACCATCCACAGTTGTTACAATCTTGTATAACATTATGTGCTGAACTATTTATTTTATATGAACTCTAATCTGCTATGGGTTATATATGTGTACCAAAATAGGGATAAACAACTGTCATACTAAATGACACTTTGGAAGAATCTTCCAAACACTTTTGTGCCTGGTTAGTATCAAGTTAGCGGTTTTATACCTCCCTGCACTGCTGCATATTAGTGGAATATGAGAAGTTTTCATGGTGAAAAACCAACCATGGATATCCTATATCAGAAACAAAGAACACATGGACTTCTACCTGCAAAGCTGCAGGCATATGTGATTTTGAAGACTTGCTGGATCTCTGATGTAGAAGTGTTTGAGTCAGTGAAAAACATACTGCGAGAGCAATGTATTTAGTGAGAACAATTTTTAATAAAAAACATATTTCAAAATTATTTGAGGAAAAAATACTTTCCCCACCCTGTAATTGAAGGATTTGTGGTAAGCTCATATAGAAAGTCAAGCTTCAATTGTAAAATTTAGACAGCAGAGAAAGTCTGCAATATATATTTATAATCTTGTGGACAAGGATGTATGTATTCAGTTCAAAGATCTTCAGATCTTCAGATCTTTCAGATGTATTCAGATCAAAGAAAACCCATGCAGTCCAATTGCCATCAAGCTGAGGAGTCACCTAACTCAGCAGAATATGGCATTTGTATATACATTTTTAAAAAAGATCTGTTTCATGAATTCATCAACGAAAAAACCCTACTGTTTGAAAAAGAGTGAGAGTCAGTTAAAGACAATGTTTTATTAGTAATAGTGTCAAATGCAACTCGTGGCAAGTCTGTAGTTTGCAAAACATTTGATGATTGGAAAGTGCTAACAAGCTTAATGTACATTCAAGTACATTGCTTCAATTTGAAGTGTACTTTCTCTACTGGAGCATCTGGATGTATCATTGCTAATGCTAATACTGTGAATTTCCCACTTCAACGTGCCAAATTTTCTTCTTCTAGGAATAAAGGTGTCCAAAATTTCTCCGAAGTGACAAACGACAAGACTGAGACACCTTTCCTTACAGAAAAGGAAAAAAAAAAATCAAGATTTTACATTTGAGCACCTAAACCAGTGCGTAGGCATCTAAACAAATTTTCAAAGGCCAGATTTTGCAAAAGTACCACACGCTTTTCCATTTGCATGATCTTCTATTTTTCTTTCTAGAATAATCTGTATATTCGGTCAAATCCAAACATTCATACCAGAGTATTCCCTACAGAGAATGAACCTTTTTTTCATGCATTTGCAGTTCATTTGTGTTTGATTGCAATCACGCCAGCATTCAGTCAGCTCTCCCTCGGCCCAAGGAGAGAGCGACTGCAGCAGCACATGCTCCTGGGACAAAGCTGGACACCAGGAGGATGTTTACCAACGTAAATATGTCATGCAAACCACCTGTGACATCCTGACCCCACAGTATTTGGTTCTTTCACCTCCTGAAGTGCTTTGATCCAGTGGTGGACTGTGAGGAAGCCTGCACGGCCTCTTAGGTGGGAAACCATTCTGACTGATGCAGACATGGCTGGAGAGACAACCTAAAGGCCTTAACCTTGTCTCCGTTGGGCAAAGAAAAGTCCTTAGTGAAAATATGCTGGTATCTATTGTTCACTTCTTAGCGTAATCACCAGTGCTGTCACTGTTAAATGAAAGAGAGCCCCCCTCCCCTAAAAGCAAAATCATCTATTTAGACACAGCAACGTTCTGCCTCCTTGTGTCATGCCGCTCCATGGTCATCACTATTTCCCTCACAAATATATTCAGTAAGAGTTTTTTTCCTTCTCAGGACTCTGTTTCTTCCATCACTTCCATCACAATCGTTCGAGGGCCAGTCAGGATGAGGTTGCTCACTGTCCTGTAATCCACATGGAGAACGTTGAGGCCGTTGACAGACACGACAAATTGGCAAACCTGAGGAGAAAGGCAAGCAGCAGAAGTTATGCATCAGACTTCTTTTGGTAAGGTTATTTACAAAGACATACTATCAACTCCTGTGCAAAACCTCCAGAACTCTTCATACCATCTCATTCAGCACTCTTAAGAAAAACACTTTTCTTAGAATTAATCTGGCAAGTTAATTTTTCGTAAAATTTTTTGAAATATCACTGCAACTTTCAAATCTGTGGAATTTTGAAGTCCTACATGGATCATTTTTCTTATAACAATGATATTTTTCTTATAACAATGATATTTTTCTTATAACAATGATATTTTTCTTATAACAATATTTTCTGATATCAATGGTGCATTGCAAATAATATGGGACAAGACAACTCTGGCCATTGCAAAGAGTCTGTTATCCTTAGTTTGTCTTAAACGCTTCCATAGAAACCATTTTAGACAGCTCTTGGTAGTCACAGTGAAAATATGCATCATGTTTCCAGGCTCAGGGCAAGGTTTGGATGATGACTTCACTAGATTCAGTGCCAGAACCTCCACCAGTACAACATGAACCTAAAGGATCCACATTCTAGGAAATAATATCATGGAAGATGAAGTCAGTACTAGGATGGATTAAAACGTCACTGCCATTTTCAGGAGATATTCCTACACAGATTTAGTTCTTTCCATTTTTTATGTGAACGGTTTTCGGTTTTCTTCAGCAAGTATGACTCATTAATTAATTTCAAATATGCTAATATTTTGTTTTTAAAAGACGTAACAAATTCAAATTGAAAGTCTTCTATCGTCAGAGGCTGTTTTCTGTCCAAAAAGTCTTGATGGAAATATTCTGACCAATGCCACTAAATATCTTAAAAGAGTTAATCAGAGAAAAAGTCGTATCAGCATTGTAAAAAACTGACGAGGAAAAGAAAGATAACAACACTGATTCCTCAAAAACATTAAGCCTTTTCTGTATCTAATCATAGTATTACAGTATTTGGTAAAAAGGCCAAAAATGTGTAGTGTCTAGATCTGTGTTTTTAATAATAAAAATATGGAGCCTAAAGCAACAATAATATCATCCTGATGTTTCAATGAAAACAATACATTCACCAGAAGGTTACCTTACTCATAAGTGATCCTGAGTGAGTACCATTAGAAATTTTCACGCTTTATTTTATATTTTTACCTTTCCTATTTAGGCAGAAACACAACACAGAAATGTACGCAGAAGAGGTGGGAAACAGCTCTGGTGTCTCCCATTGCTAGTTCTGAAACAGATTTTCTTGCAAGCCAAGTCATTTAACTTCTGTGCATCAGCTACCTTCCCTCTCAAGTAAAACATGTGGTGAAACTCCATTCATATTTGTGCAAAACGTACAGAATGTAGCTATCGATGTTCCGTTTAAGGAAAATTATAGAGGAAGCAAAGCCAACCCAAAAATGTAACATTTCATCAAAAATGCCAAAGATTAAAATCTTTGCTCCTTAGAGCCTCTGCACAGAAACAGCGGCAGCAGCAGCCCCTGAAGGGAGGGCAGACCCCTCTCTTGCACCTTACCCCTTCAAACTCAGAACTCTTCTGCAGAGCTGAAGATCTTGGAAGTCAGCCTTACTGGTAGCCTAAACGATCGTCAAGGTATGGCAGTCAGCAATACCACTTAGCCAACTTCCACAGCAGTATAGATGTATCTTTCCTATACACTCATATGCTATATTTCAGCTGCAAGTAGCATTAGGAAAACGGTTCAGCTTTTACATGCAGACAAAGCCTTCTGAATTTTAAGGATTTTGGTTGAAAAGGTAACCCATCATCCTCTGCAGTGTGCCTCGATTAGTATTTAAGAGGCATGTCTATTTAGTTTAAAATGCAGATTTTTACAGTATCTATAGGGGTCTCAACTCCCAGCGGTATTTCCTAACGCTTTCTATGGCTTTCCAAGATTGTATCAAGTTTTACTGAATTATAGCTCTGGCTCCAGAATAATATTTGGGTTGATTTAAAACAGACCTGCAGAAATAACATTGTCTCTTCTGGCTTAATGCAATTTTTGGAAGTTGAATGGCTGACGCTTGTTTTACTGCTGCATATTCTCAGACTTCTCGAGTTACTGAAATCCCAATGCATGGGACTCGTGTTTGGCCAGGGACAGGCATGCAAGCGTGTGATGGATAAATCTGCATGCCGGATCATGTCAGGGGCATTTGGGGGCCTCCAGGGACCGTCCCTGGCAGAGGAACAGACTTTCCAGACCGGCCAGCCACTCGCACCAGGGCTGCAACGGTGTAAATGTGGACGGTACAGGCACCGCAGCACTGAACAGCAATCTGGATGCCAAAGAATGAATTTCTTACGCAAAAGACAAGAGTTGACATGTCTGCGTTCTCAATGTGTTTGTTTTAATGTACGCCCTTGGCGATATTATTAATCAGCAATGCGTATGGGCTGAGAACAGCCCTCTCCGTGCCGTCCTTTGCACTGGATACAAATGGCTTATTAGTTTCACCATTTGCAGTGGGTAGGATTAGATGCAAAAAGTCCACCCAAGCCAGACGAGAAGAGAAATGTAGAGAGGAGGACAAGGCACAGAAGAGAGTACTTCTGTCCTAAAATTGCATGAAAAGACCTGTGAGGAACAGGAGATGATAATAAAGAGCCAGTCACCCTGGGGGCAGAAAGCTCTCTCCGTGGCCATCACTTGGCCAGTGCCCCCAAGGGCTGAGTTTCTGCAAATTCCAGATCCAGATCCCTCAGGGAGAAAGAAAGGAGGAGCCATTTGCGGTGTCCTCCAGTCCTGACGAGGGGAGAGAGGTTTGCACAGCCTTCGGTATGCTGAGTGCCCTCTACTCACCCAGTCTTCTTCTGCCCACCCTGGTTTTCCATCCAGCGCTGCATCCAGCAAAGGGAAATGAAAGGCAGCACTGCTTCGTGCATTTTGGCTGTCATCAATCCTGCCCCAAAAAAGCCCACATCGTGTGTTGCTCTCTTGGTGAGTTACAAAATGAGCGAGAGCGAGCGAATACCCACAAACCAGCCCTGACTGAGTATACTGACCCACATATTATCATCTCAGGAATTTTCTTAAGGAGACTCGTTTACAAAATCGTGATGATTTAATGTTACATTTATAAAAACACATTTGAAAAAGCTGTAAGTGCTCAGCTCATAGCTACAGCTGTTAAGGGCTTTGTAGCTATAAACATGTAAAATTTCTCTGTTGGTTTCCACACATCAGTAACTATAACAGATAATAAACTAAAGTTAAAAGAGCCTCAAAGAGCCTTTTATTGCTCATTTCCTCATAGCTCTCCAAGGAGCTTGACAGGAGATAAGCATCCATTTTTATCCCTCAGACTTCAAGAAATGACAAAGCGCAGAATAAATTCCGACCATTTTGTTGGTCAGGATGTGGCGATCTAAAAACCACAGAAACAATAACAGTTAAATAAAGGAACACCGAAGTGAAAAGACTCCCTTCATTAAATTCAAATATTTGAATGTTACAGTAATAAACATTTATTGTTAAGTATTTCAATTTCCCACCCTGGCGTACAGCAGCCCACAGAAGTAGGGACAGCAGAAAAGGCACCTCTCTCTTCCTGCAGGTTTTCACTGGCACATGCAGAAGGTTTAACCAAATCCAGGTGTTCCCAGGAAAAGGAAAACTTCAACTTTGGACTTACATTTGAACAGAAAGGATCTGGCAACCTATTGCTTAAAGAAGTTTGCAAAGATTTGTCATGCCATTTATCATCAAACTGAAGATGGCGAGAAGAGGAATTATAATTAGTTACCATAATGTTTAATGGCCAAAATCAGGATTGTGCTGTACTTGGAGCTGTACAACCCTTCCCCCCCCTCACTAGTTATTGCTCTTCACTCTACAGCAAGCTTTGGCTGCCGGCCCCTCCTTGGTCTTGCCAAGCTGCCCTGGAGATGTACATCCACACTCCCTGATTTTCCTGCCAGGAGAATTGCCCGCCGGCCAAACCAAAGCCCCGCTCCCTCACAGGCAGCTGCCTGCACCGGGGCTGGACAGCTGAGCCAGCGTTGATCAGGCGCTGCGGTCAGAACGACTGTGGGATGCTCCCGAGGGATGTCAGAGATCGGCTGCAGGCATGGGCATGGAATTGCACAACTCCCTTAAAGCAAATTATTGAATAAAAACATTGCATACCTGTCACTAATTCTTACTTAGCATTCTGCCTCAGGACGATCTTAATATTCATGAATGCTACAGGAATATTATTTGAGGATAGGCAGCTAGCCAAGATCCTCGGATATTCAGATGCTGTTTGCACCGTAGGCTTTAGTCACCTGTCCTTTTTTAAATTTTATATATACATATAAAAAAAATCCTTTAAAAATTTCCTTTCTTTTTCCAGGCACACTTTTTAGAAAGGTGCTGTGAAACATCATGAAGAGCTGGAAATTCCCACTGCAGAATTTGGTTTAAGTGACAATTGCAAAGTTCTTTGGGACAGCCCTAAAAAAAGCATTTAATTTTACAGATGCAAAGAGAGCGACCGTTCATCACGGGTTGCAAAGCAAGTAACAGCTATGCAGAGTCAACAGATATTATATCTCAAAACAGTAGAATAAGACCATGATTACACAGTCACTTTAATTTGACATAAATTTTAGAAAAAGGTTGGGATGAAGAGGAACACAAATGCCCGCACCCGCATACAGGAGGCAGCGTGGCTGGGGTGGCTGGGGGACTGCCCTTCCCCACAGCAGCGAACGTGTGCGCCCATTGCAGTGGCCATGGGTTAAGGCTCTAATTCTCAACGGATTTATCATTTACATTTCGGTGTCAGGATCAGTGTCCGGAATCCACTCTGCTTTTTTTTTTGCTAACTTCTTTTAAGAAAGAGAGTGTAAACACTATTACAAATACAGTTCAAATAGGTACCGAAGAAATCAATGTTACCAAATACAACGTAGGCTTGAAATTCTTGAATACAAAGCTAGATTATGCAATGACACATTGAAGATAGTGGCAAAAACACTGGTTTTCAGCAGT